TTCCTTACTACCTATGTATACTTTTTTTTTTTCTTTCTCTAAACTCAAGAAATGTTAATTAAGTGATAAATCTTTTATCTCGATTTCTTATCTCTTCTTTCTTCTACCCTCGCAATGCAACTTTCAAGTTTTAAGATTCAACTTCCAACTTCCGTTTTGTTGTACACAGAAATAAGAATTCACTAAGATTAATTACCATCTCGCATTTTCGGGATTGTGAAAAACTTGGGGTTGCTTGGGTTTTAATATGTCAACATATATGTATATACTGTCCCAAGCAATACGATGAGAAGAAGGAATAAATACACAGAAGGAAGTAGGAAAAGAAAAAGATATCGATCAGAAAGATAATTTGTTATAATATGAATTGATATTGTATTTGAATTGAAAAAAAAAATGTCTCATAAGAAAGCAAAAAACTGTAGCAGTCCAGCTATCACAGAGAAAAGAAATGTATGTACAAATTAATGCATGCCCTAATGAGGTATTGCTTTTGTTTGATCACCAATTTTCCCGCTGTCCTGCTCATCCATCTAGAAGCATATCCTACATATGCATTCCTTCTGTGTTCCCCCACCCAACTTATTCATCCATTCATCCTTGCTTTCGTCCATTCCGCAACATTAAAAGTCATAAGAAATGACATATCTTCTTGAAGCCTCGATCCATTACTCTTCCGAATTATCACATACGTCATCATCGGCAGAAGGATCAGTGGCCTCAGGGAGTCAACTGTAGAACCAGTATTGGGCGGCGTATGGAACACTCTCTACACCAACTTTTGTGCAAGGATTGATCGAGTTTCCACCATTAGTCTCAACACGGAAGACTTCTGAAAGACCAACAGATTTGTAATTGGCCTTGGCAGATAATGCCAACCAATCAACGGCACCAGTATTAGCTGGTCCTACGTCGGCGTCCTCTGGTGCGGGAACGTCACCAATTTTAGCACTGTACAAGATCTTGTTGACAAAGTAGAGGTCGAAGGTTGGAGTGCCACTGGCATCAAAGAAGTGCTTGCCAAGAGGATTGAGTTCCAGGAACTGAGCACTAGTAGTCGAGGGGAGATCGAAATAGGGAGCGAGATTAGTCAAAGTATTGAAATTGGAGGCGCCGTAGCAGCTGGCGTATTGGGTACCGTCGTAGAGGCTTGCGATGGCACCAATAGCTACTGGAGTAGCACCAACGGCGGAACAGGTGTAATTTTGGATACCACGGCCGAGAGCAGCATAGACGAGAGTACCACTTGGTGATGGAAGCTCAGAAGCACCTGGAAGTAGAGATGTTAGTTGTAATTCTTGAAACAAGACTGAACAAAACTTGTAGGGTAAAAACGCACCTCCATTGACAGGTAGTGTTGGTGTTGTTCCACACTTAGAGTCAGTTGAAGAGACAGCTGGTACAGTGTTGACTGGAACGGCGGTAACGGCCGAAGCCAAAAGGAGAACGATACTGCTGATGGAATGCATGATGTCGTTGATGTGTAGAATTATGTTGTAAATTGGAGATTGTTCTGGTTGGAGATGTGGTCGACACAAATTGAGGTGGAGGGATATATATAAAGTAGTTCAACACTGGGAAGCTTCTGTGCTAAGATATCAAGTTTTCGAAACTGATGTCGTGTGAAGAGGCAGTGAAGTGACTTTCACGTACGAGGTTGAAGATGAAGATGAGAGATGAGATGAGATGAGATTGAAGGTTGAAGATGTACACAATTGAGAGGAGAGTAAAGTCATCTTATAGAAAATCGAGTCAATTGACTCGATTGAGCATCAGATAAAATAAGAATAGGAACAATAAAATAAGCAAACCCTGGTCAATTAATTCAGACGCTGAAGAAAGTAAACTAAGTACAATGCGGAGGTAAATTGTCATCCGAAACGGAAAAATAAAGTATAAACCTGGTAGAATGATACGATGATGGTAAAAGATGTGGATCTCTTCATCGTGGATACTGTACTTGACTGTACCTTGCAGACCAGGGCTGTTGGCTGTTCCTGATTTCTGTGAGACAAGGATTGAATCCTCTATCTTGTATCTTATTCCTTTTCTGTATATGGAGCTTCAATATAAAGCATATGTCAGGATAAAAGTATCCTATGCATTGTTGTTGGTGTAAAAAGTAAAGTTAAACTCGGTACATAGTAACATCTTGAAAGTGAAGGTTGAGGGAAAGAAAGGAAAGAAAAGAAAGAGGTCAAGAATAGAAATGATCTAAGATGAAATGAGATGAAGCTAATAGGAATCTAGTCTAGTCTTGCCGGACAGCGAACGTGCACTAGAGGAGTCTGGCCAATTAAACCAATCTAATCACTTAGCGCACCAGGCATACTGACCAAAATATCTAATGCTTGATCACGACCCGGCCTTGACCCATTTCTTGACCCATGTGGCTTACTGGCTTACTCCATTTACTCTGCACAAACAAGCCTTGATAAATAAGTTGAGTGGATATGTATGATATATATGATAGATAACCTTATATATCTTCATCTAATAAAAATTTTACCAAATATTTACAAGACTAACTAGTACAGACTAACTTCTTATCACAACTCTCTCTACGGTGTAATCTCTAATATTCATCTTTCCACCTCAGTAGCTGGATTGGGATTGTAAGATGTTACGAATGTGTTGTTTGTGCTGCATACCTTTTTTAGTTGTCCATTTAATTTCCATCATCTCTCCATTTTCCTTGGCCTATCCTCATCATCATATGCAAATGCAAGAGATGAAAATTAAATGTACCCTTTTGGTTGTACCACGGTAAGGTGATACAAAAGGAAATAACCTCATTTATTTGATTGCTACACTACTACTCTACTACCCTCTACTACCCTACTACTACTCTCTACTACTCTACTACTCTACTACTCTACTACTACTATCTACTACCCTACTACATTACCTGATCAACCAGTCATCATACGACATCCAAGTACAAAAATCTTTAATCCAACATTGAAATTCATAAACCATCCTGTACATTACAAGCATATACATCGGTACTCCATCTTCCCGCATCCTATTCGCGTACTATTTCGCCGTTTACTTGGAGTAGGTTCATTATTATTCACCAACAAAAATACCCGAGCGGTTAATTCATTTATCCTTAAACGAGCTATTATTATACATACCGACTCTGTTTGTGGAGATATTCGCTCAATCCACATTCATTAGTGTTCGGACCATCTTCATTGGGCTTGTAGAGAAAGTTACAAGCATTTGCATAGCGTGCTGGGTAGCCCTGCAAGTGTGAAAATTTTACTGGCATGGCATTGATCACTACCGGTTTGACAGGAACTGTTTTCCTACCTCCTTCGTGGCAGAATTACTATGGATTAGGGATTTTCTTCATCGATACCTATAAGCTGGGAGAAAGAACGGTTCAATAATTGCTTACCAATTTATGTGTATGTGGTACCTTAATCTATGCCAAGTAGTGCAAAAGTTGCCTCATGTTTGCTGGCTAACTGATTAGAAACGGATAGACTTTTGAGGGGAAGGGTAGGAATCAGTACAAGGCTGATTGATGCTTTAGGGGTTATCAAACTATGACTATCGTAGGATTCCGACTAAACAATCATCATAATCAGCCAGAAATAAGAATTTCCTACACTTAACTAGACAAACGGTCTAGAGATAATGATCAGCTGAATCCGGGGAAATCTTCACTTTGCTATCGCATTAGATCCATTATAAGATGGAGTCGGTTCCAGGGATTCATTACACATCTATCTAATCTGAATTTACTCGAGTAGCTTTAACTAACGCACCCTCAAACTGTAAGAATACATCCCAGTTTACACTCCAATCTCCCATGTAGCGACACCACCAAAAACCAAAAACATCCCACATCTAGCTCCACTCCCGTGACAATCAGCAATTCTTAACTAAATATCCGAAGCTTTTCCCACTATTTTCCCGACATGTGGAATTATGGAATAAATACTAGGTACTCGAGTACCTAGGTAAGGTAAGACATACTTTGAAGATCGATCCAAAAGTAAGTAAGTATCTGATTCGGCTCTTTTACCAACCTCCTCACCTAACCCCTGACATATAGTCAGTGGTACTCTTATCTCAAAAAGTACAAATTCTCACTAATTCATGCATCTTCATCCAATCAAACCGAGCAGAACCTCACTCACCGTATTACAACCGGGTAGGGTTCCAACTAATTGTTCTCGAAATAGAAGCTTTTGTCTTTTGTGCATCTCCGCCGATTGATTTGCTATTTTCGGTACTTTTTACAATTTTACAATTTTACTCGAATGAATGCTTGCTTGCTTGCTTGCTTGCTTGCTTGCTTGCTTGCTTGCTTGCTTGCTTGCTTGCTTGCTTGCGTTACTCTCTTAATTATCTATATGTGACATGTATGTATGTACATTTAGCTTAACACTAGGATGTGGAAATTTCTCCGAACCCTCATTCAACGACGTCGTAGACGTTTAACTTATTGTCTTTTTGTCCATTCATTCAGTGTTTTTCTTGTCGCCCGTTTAATCTTGCCGCTCATATCTTCTTCATGTCTTGCCGAATTCCGGTTTTTCGATTAGGTGGTATTTAAGTCTTGTTATTCGTCCAAGTGGTCGCTAAATTATCATTGATGCAAGGGTCTAATCTTCAACATTGAAAATATCGTCTCAAAATCTACAAAAAATAAGTATTTCGGTCTTTTTCATATCGCCTGTCGCAGTTGTTAAATATATCATATTATATATCTACAAAATTGCTTCATTAAGTAGTAATATCAAAGATACACCCACCATCTTATTGTTTAAATTCGAAAGATTCAAAGGAGATATTATACACTTTTAATTAAAACAAAAAAATACTAACACATAAGATAGACTCGTCCGCTCTACATCTATATCCATATGCACAATCTCAAACTTTGATACTCCCATTCAATTGGCACACAGCTAACAAACGAGCCCCTGTCAGAAGTGGATCATCCAAACTACACAATACAATGTACCATCAATCGCTTACGACCAAAGTATTAAAAAATATACGGCCAGTCATTCACCAACAAACAACCAACTAGGCGCGCATGATCTCACACTCTCGGCTGGTAATTACCCATCTTTCCGTTCGTCCCCGAGCGCTTGATAGATAGTTTGGAGCGATCCACAAAAAGATCAACGGGCAAGGTAGTTAGTTGTGGGATCCACAATCGGACTATTTATAAACTTCTCCTCATCATCCACTGAGGGGCTCACGCTAACTCCACTTGACTCATCTTCCGATTCTTTGGTTGTGCGATGCAATGGGATGTGTGCTTCTTGTGGTTGGGGTGGATTATTCAAGTTACTCGTGTATTGTATTGTATTGTTGTTGTGTTTTGTGTCGGTCTAGAAAGAGAATATCTACTATTACAAGATAAAAGACGAGACGAGACGAGACGGGACAAGAGGAGACAAGAAAAGACGAGAGTAATAGCGCAGATGCATCATGATCCTCCATGCACCATGCTACCTACTATCACTATGAAGAATTCGGCCGAATAAAGCAGCTTCACCGTTCACCGTGCAGAAAACCTGGTATCTTCCTCCTCGGCACGGAAGACTAAACTTGAAAGTTCGAGAACAGGGGGGAAATCGAATACATCCTTCTCAACCGAACCCTTCTCCCCGTTTCCACTTACATACAGTACTCACCTTTACACACTATACCGCACACTATACCGACAAGAACAAAACAAGACAAGACAAGACAAGCTCCGGAAAATAACATTCCAAGACTTCATTCTAACGCTCTAACCTCAATATATCCATTCCTCGCTATCGAAAAACCTCGCTTTTCATCATCTCCCTATCGCGATTGGTTAATTATATATATATATATAATATTAATATATGCACATCCTTTATCTAGACGATATTTTTCCCATCAGCGTGTTTTTGTTTCTATTTTGAGGATTATCCTTTTGTCATTAGCTGCAGATGATACTTAATTACTTACTCCGCGGAGTTCATAGTAAGTATGGTTTATTAGGTAGGTACTAGGTAAGTTGATTTTAGCAGCTACTCCTATTATTGAGCTAGGGATTTCTTGTGTTGTATTGTATTGTGTTTCTATCTGATACCTAGTTCCTAGGTAGGTAGGTAGGTAGTTGATATGTCGGTAAGACTATCTAGGTAGGTATCTAGGTATCTATCTATCTATGAATCAATCATATACCGCTCACTCGCTTCCCTACTGTAGATATTATCTAATCCTATCCAAGCTTTGTATTTCATATCCTATCATCTAATGATTGTATACTCATCAATCCAGTTGAGAAATTGTAAAATCTCCCTTCTTCTGAGGTCCTGATAGTAGGGCCGGGCAAAACGTAACTAAACAAAGCATAATAAAGTTAGCTCACTTTACGTTTCGTAACAATACAGCTCATATGATTATAATATAAGATTATTTTTCATATATCGGCGATTTGTTATTGCCTACAAAAAGAAGAATTGTCATTTTTATTCTATTTAACTATTAATTATCATCTTATCTTTTAAATTACTAAAACAATATTTTCTAATCATTATCTATATTGAAGTGACTATAGAAAAATAAATTGAAAAATAATGATGCTAACTATGATTCTACTTTACGTATAACAATACCCTCCTTTACGTAAAACGCCCAACCCTACCTGATGGTTAATAACATACACAATGACACACTTGAATCAAGTACCTATTCGATTCAGACAATTTCAATTTATCCATCCATCTCACTCACTCACTCATTCACCTGCACACTGCACACTGCAATCACTTCTATCTTTAGAACACTATAAAGTAAGATTTTAAATCTTGCAGAGTTCGTACATATTACATAGATACTTAGTTTTGATATCCACTTTCATATACATAAGTCTTGGAAATCTTGGTAATGAGTAGCGTTTGATTGGTAGGTAGGTATTTTTTGAGTGTTGACGGCACGAGTATATCCATTCTTCCTTTCATCCATTTACTTGGACTAGGTAGGTACCTATGTAGGTAGGTATGTATTATTCATTTCTCCATTCGAGCGGTGCGGGACAAGACGGTTAATAACAGGATTCCCCTACCTACTGTGTGTAGGTAGGTATTAGAGAGCGTGTGTGTGTGTGCGGAATATGTGGATGAATATGAATGTAAAATTTATATTGTCGGTATTGGATATGGATGTATTTCCTAGATAAAATTATTCATATTATTTGTAAGTTCATTATATTACTTAAGAGATATGTTATTATTCTTTTTCAAACTAATAGTTATTATTGTATGAGGTATGTAATTTTTCAGATTTATTGAATTTATTTTCTAACTAAACTGTAACCTTAGTTGTAGAGTATTTCTCTCTTGTTGTTTAGCTTCACTTACTTTTGATTCTTGAATAGGTATTCTTGCTCCTGTGGATGCAACTTGTAGATTCTTATTCACTCGTCCCTATTCACTCAACCACTCACTCTTCGCTCATCTAACTTTCTCTTACCTTCTGTTCACTCGCCCCGGCCCATCCACTCACTCCCCCATCCACTCACTCTCCATTCAATGACTCACCCTTCCTCACTCCTCTTCAAACACCCCTAACCTAAACCAAACCCCGTAATTCATACCCTCATATGCCATAACCCACTCCCTCAGAAAATACCACCAAGAACCTAGAACCTGAAACCCAGAGCCTGTATCTCCACTAACCCCGAAGGTTCCTCTATCTGGATCTTTTGTCTCACATCTTACAACTTCTAAACTCATGATAAACATCAATATCACATGCTTTACTGAGTAAACTCCTCATACCCCTCTTCAACCTCCAACCCCTAACCTGTAACCTCTGACTTGTGTACTGCAGACTGAAACCCCGTCTCTGTATCTCCATATCTCCATATCTTCAAATTAATCCATGGGTCCCGTCTCAAGTATAGTTATATATATTGTATTATACATACACCGCTATTCTCATTATACGGGTCGTTCGTGTGATATTTCTGTAGATAGAGAGGAGTAGGTGGATGAGTAGGTAATTAGAGGAGTAGGTGGATGAGTAGGTAGATGAGTAGGTAGATGAGTAGTTAAATGAATGAATTTTATAATATAATAATATTAAAATAATTCTATCTCTTTTCACTTTGTATCATATTCTAGTATTAATTATATATTATATTAATTCAAGTTAATATTACTATTATCATTATTATTTATTTTTTATTTATTAATCATTATAACTTACTAAAATAATTAATAGCGTTAATTATAAGTTATAACATATTTCAAAAAAAAATTATTCAGGCCCTGGTACTATCTTCAAATACATCATAACATAATTATTTTAGAAGTTATTAAGATTATTTATATCGATCTTACAAGTTTATATTAAAATATAACATCTCTCTTTTAGTAAATATTAAAACTTCTCTGTTATTTGTTCTAAAGGAGTCAAATACAAATCCAAGTTATATTTAATTTTATATCTCATAAATACATATAAATACACACATACATACTCCAACTCCCTTATCCCAACCTCCCCCATCCCATCTTATCCATCCCACTGCCCCCATATCCTCCACCCACTCCTAATTACCCCTTTATCCTCCACCATCTCCTCCAGCACTTCCCACTTCCCACCCCTCTCCTCTCGCATACTCATGCACATACACATACTCACACTCATTCAAATTCTCCACCAATCCTTCATCCATCCTATTCCACCAATTTCCTCCTCTAACTAAATCCACCTAATCCCAATCCTCATCCCCATCCCACAAAACTGCTACACTACGCACATCTTCTATTTTTACAGTTCTAACGTTTCAGGATCTTTATTTTATAATTCTGAAATATCTAATATAATTATCCATTTCCATAAAATTTATATAGACACATCTATAGTTTATCAAATTATTACAGTATACACCACATCTATAATTCTAGGGAATCATACCCTATTTCCACTATCCCTCTGAAAGGTGTAGAGGTTATTGAAGACTGCTGCATTCATTATTATTCGTTTTGATAGAGAACTATAGACTGTGGAAGTAGATATGACTTAGGTTTCTTACTATTAAAACATCTTCATGGAAACATCTTCACATGAATCACATTCAAAATATATACACCCAGTTTGCATGCACCAAATGATAATAATATTAACGAAAGTCAATGTAATCTGAAACCCATACTACCATAACTATAACTATACTTTTAACGACCGTCTAACAGCTTCATAACGCAAATTTCTTTTCAACCGCACCTCTTCAAGGATACCATACCACATCTAAACCTATTTCCTACACCATTTTACCATTTCTTAAGCATCCATCATCTCGGCCGCAGTTCTCCGTTTGACCTTTCTCAGTCTCTCATTCGAATTATCATCCTTTCGATCATTCCTTTCCTTCCCCTCCTTACAGCTATTTCCACTAGCCGTTCTTTTCTTCCCTCTACTCCAACCACTACTCCCGCTACGTTTCTTTCCCCCAACATAACTCGCACCACTAACCGTGTGTTTCTCTCTCCAGCTCCCACAATTCCTCCCCATACTAAGTTCACGCTCCCTCCTAACCCTTTCCGAAGAATTTGAATTTGGTCTTTTTTCAGTCTTCTGCAAATACGCTTTGCGAAAAACATTATTTGGATCAATCCATTGTAAACAGAGCTGGTGCATAGGTTGAACTTTTCGATTGGAAGAGTACATATTTTGTCGAACCGCCCAATCCCAGAATCCAAGAAACGTAAATGCATTTTTAAGTGTCTTATGACCTTTGATTTTGTCTGCAGCAAATTCATCAAGATCCATTGGCTCTACTGTGATAGCTTCGAGAATTCCTTCTTCAAATGTGCATTGAAATCTGACATTGAGAAGTTCTTCCGTTCTTTGAATGGGATCAAATCCCCACAGCATTATAGTATAAGAGTCGCTATGATTTCGAGTCGATGATGCTATGGGATAGGTATATGGTAGTCTTCCCCATTCGAGAGGCAGTAGCTTGTGTTTTAGTTCTATGAGACGAAAGATTTCTCTTTTTACATCTTCGTCTTGGGCTTCTTTTGCTTTGTCATTTTCTTGTACCCATTGAGTATACCTGTGGCGTCCCCATCGTCCGAGCATTAAGGTCTTTGGATTTTTCATAATCTCTTCGTACAGAGTCTCTGTAGCGGTACCTACTTCTGAATCGACCGGGGCAGCAATAGATGAATCTCCATTGGTAGCTTCGCTAGTAGACTTAGATCTAATTGCGAGCCGAAAACTTCTCGGTACCTCCGCCACATTCGAAATGGTAGAGAATGTTTGATCCTTCTCATCAATGGTGTTGGCTACACAGCCTGTGGTAAAATAAGGACCTCCATTCAAACTTCCACTTGTAACCATTTCTACCACCGATGTATTGATATCATCCGGGACTCCAACCACTTCTGTGACTGTAGAGATGATCTCAATTTTCTTGGTACTCAAATTGATCTCTGGTTCTGCAGCGATACAAACATCCTCCTCAACAATATCATTTGTAAGATCTTCAGTTATCATTTCATCAACCTCATCTGACTCCTTCATCGCCGTAACTGTTGAATTTAACTCATCTTTTTCGAGAACATTATCGATGGCGGCGGGTACTTCAGAAACACGGAGACCTTCCCACGCTTCATCCACAATCGTACTGATAGTATCCATCTCAGAAGCCGTAACCTTTAGTCCTCGCGAGGTGTTCTTATTCGGCACGGGGTTATCCTCTTTGGCTCGAGCTAAAGGCACACTTTTCCTTCCCGATTCTCTCGCACAGCCCTTATCATTCCCTATCAAACTCATCAAATTAGCAATCATACTCTCATCTTACTATGGAGAAATTTCCGAGAGAAGTTCTATCCCAAAAACACTTACAAAACAACTTATAGACGATCTTTTCCGCTACCTCCACCTTTTCTCTTCCCATTTCCAGACTTTCCTCTTCCTCTCCATCCCATCCCTCATTATCCTCACTGTCCACCCCAAAAGCAGCAAGCACACTCTCATATGCCTGCAAAAACCTAACCAGGTCGATTTTCTCATCAATAGCTCGATAAACCATTTGTTGTTTGCTATATTTATTTTCATATGCACGCTTCTCTTTCTTAAACTCTGAGACTAGTTTGGGTCTCTGACAAGGAGCATTTGGAGGTGTGTCTGGAAGGGAAAGGGAAAGAGGAGAAATTGAATCTGGGATGGCATCATCATTGATGGGGATTGAGTTGCTGTAATTGCGTTCAAACCAGCGAGAAGAGGAGGAAGAGGGGAACATTTTCGAGCGGTGCTGCGTTCGAGTCTTGAGATAAATATGGATGGGTAAAAGATGGAGTGAAATAAAAAGCGGAACTTGGTAGTGCCAGACCAAAATTTATATTCAATGATACTGGAATAATTGTACAAGCTTTAAATGAAATTATTCAATATATGTTGATATTGAATCTTGTGAAGGACTTGAGGTTGAGGGAATCCCTTTCATCTAAGTTCAACAGTTGGTTCATCAGGAGTGGGAAAGTCGCTATTGACTGTGTAACACTGCGAACCCATATTGGAAGAAGGAGGAAAGAACGAATGTGCGGATATTAAAAAAAAATCTATGAGAAAATCAGGTACGTAAAATATAAAAATGTGAGGACTTCCTCACCTACCATATTTCCCAGAGTTCAAAGTCAAAAAAGGAAGGAAGAACAACCCAAGGAGAAGTGTAAGTAGTCAACTACCAATATTTGAATAGTAGCATGACCTCATCAACACTCCATTAATTCAATTAGACACGCGCTACAACTACACACCTACATAGAAAACTCGGAACGATATCAAAAACAAGCATGAAAATACTTATGCGGATATCTAAAGTATATATATTAGTCCAATTCCCATTTTGATTCCCATCTCCATTCATCCATCAAATCAAAAAAAACTGCATAATTAGCTGAATGAAGCACATCCAAACCTCTAAAATTCCACATTTCCAGAATCCAAAAATAAAAATAAAAATCTCATCAGGTAACTTTACCTACCTACCTACCTACCTACCTACCTACCTACCTACAAGATACAATCAATACCCAGCACCACAAAAATCAAAAATACCTAATAATACATACGAGAAAGAACATTCCAATACAGTACATCACACCCTCTCACTCCCCCAGAAAACAATCCACAATAGCATTCTCCATTCAAGTAAGCTATTGAGATCTATCTACACCTACGCCCTACGCCTTATCCGCTACCCACTACTATTGGGGACTATCCCAAATTCTTGCTACGCTGGGAACATCCACGACATACAAACAAGAACCAATAGATACATAGGCCATACGAAGTTATCTTTCAAGCCAAAACCCACCTCCAGTATAGAAAATAAACATACAATAGAAGTAGAACAATGGGGAAAAAAAAGAAGTAATCGATATCCATCGATGCCCAAAAAAATAAATAGTAAAATAAAAAAATATAAAAAAAATATAAAAAAATATAAAAAAAATAAAAATAAAAATATAAAAAATAAAAAAAGTAAAAAAGTAAAAATAAACCTGAACGGAATTGTACATCCATGTGACGCCTCACACCTTCGGGTCACGTGGCATGCCCCGTTTGTATTTAATCACAGGAAAACTCGCTACTCTTGTTTTCCTTCTTCTTTTCTCCTTAGCTTAGTATTTTCTAATACAAGATACTTTACCCAGTATTCTTGAGTGTGACAATCCATCCATCCATAATGTATACCATAGCCCGACTTACACATACAGAGGACCTCGTAAAGTACAGTAAGATCTTACAATACAGTAAACTCATGAGTGGTCGCTGCTAAATCTCCTTTAT